ATATTTGACTAGTTTTAGGCTTCTGTAGCCGAAAAATGCAATATTTTTCTGTATTGTTTTCGTAGTAATGCGTAAAATTGTCATGACAGCCTAGACGAATTACTAATAAAAAAGTCATCATTTTGAAGAAATATCGCATAAAAAGTCTATTATTAGGGTTTTAGAGCATTGAGGCATTGTTTTTGTGAGTTGTTTCAGATCTTAAGGTTGTAAATTGACTGCAGGCAATGGCTGTTGTCATCCCAGTTATTCTATGAGAATCGTGCATTTGAAAGAGAAATAGCCTACAGACATAAGTTAGATGTGTGTTTTGAGGATGTTAGACACTTCTTTTATCATCTGTGATGACTGAAATATTCCATAGCACATGGAAGAGATCATGCGATGAATGAGACAGGCTGCTGCATTTCCTGGTGATTATATCTACTTTGATGAAGTTCCCATTTAAAATTGCTTAGGCGAAGATATGATACTAGTTTAATTGACATTTGCACTTGGAATGTCAGAAGGCTTTAATTGTTCATTGTCAAAAATGGCATCAGATTATGTTTATATCAGTGTGCATCGGGTCACGAAGAATAGTGTAGGTGGTCCTCATGAAATGTCAGACTACTTAAAATTAGTATCAACTTTCTGTCGATTAGTAGCTAGCAGGTGTGTCCTACAACTACTGCACCTGTTACATAAGTTATCCCAGTCTTAACAATTGTTCGTGTTCAGATCACTAAGATATTCTGAGATCCTTAATGAATTACTTGTGGCTATGAAGGATATGGAAAATGCACTTATGGCTCATATGTTTAAATCATTTATTATGAAAGAAGTTATCTATAGGGATTTTGTGATGTTCAGGTTACAATGCTTGAGTGTATGTAGTGACTGCATGCTTCTGTGCGTGAAGGAAAAGTTGGTTAAAATGAAGATGTGATGAAGTTTTCTGTACAGTGTTCATTGTGAATGGTTTACAAGTTAACACTTATTATTTGCTTGCTGCTATACTGTATAAGACGAACAATCCCTGTGTGAATTAAAAAATACAGAAGAATGCTGTCATCACCAAAGAATGAAAAAGGAAAATGAACCTTTTTCAGCAAAGGTATGGAAATATAAAGCGTTTCACTTTGACATTACTTCTTCCTTACTTCAGCGATTTAAAAACATACACTTTGTTCACTTATTTACAGATATCCGGTAATTTCAGTCAACTTGGTCACAGCAATTCAAAATGGGCGAAATAATTACGAAAAACAATTGTGTAAAGACATTTGCTTATTTTTTTCACTAAATAGATTTAACATCCTGCTTACAATACTTTTCTTATTCTATCTGAGTGAAACTAAGTTTTTTTGCATGAAAAGATGCAGATGTCAGACTTATCAATGATACTTGATGATTTATTTGACTGCATAATTAAACGTAAGCGAAATGTTACTACGACTGCTACAGCTCAACCTACTTATTTATTCGTTATGTGTAAACTTAATTTAACAGTATACGTTAACACCCGTTATCATAGGGACTGCCATAACGCTTTAATTTAAATATTAGTAATACACTGATTTGGAATAAACCTAACCGTATACGAACTGGAACTGCAATGCAGTGCCTAAGTTCTACCTATTGTTTTCATTGTTCCCTACAGACTTGCGTATGACTATGAGACGTTTTCACGTAACTGTAGACAGAGACTTAAGGGCCACTAAACTACTTATAATTCACCACGCATATCGGTCGATAGTGTTCCTACAGAATTACACTTAAGTATAGTAACGAGTTCAAGTCCTAGGGAGCACCGGTCTAGCATGCCGTGCTCACAAAGCGAACACACGAATTGAAAGACAACAAGATTTATATGAAAAGTTCATATTTATTATAATACAACATTAGTTTGTTTACATATTAAGAAAATGGTCCATTTGTGCGATTACTTCTCCCGCTTTCAGATGCGCACGAGTTGCGAGACCATGTCCATCGTTGAAACTTATGCAGCACATTATTAACTACAAAAGGTGGAAGAGTAAACAAAAATAGAATTATGCACACAATATTACAGGATAAATAATGCTCTCACCCGCATTGGCTACTTGCAATAAACTAAAAAAGCTTTGTCATGACAAAGCTAGCATTTCTTCGAGGCAAAAAACTTTGGGCGCATTGCCGTTCTTGAGTATTCGCCCCGAAGACTCAAAAACTGCAATGCACCCTAGGTCTGCCCAAAAAATTGCTGGCTGGGCAATTAGTATCCATCTGTCTCACTACTGTTTCAATATAATTCCGTAGAAAAAGCAACATTGAAATACATCACTGAGCAATATCCACCAATAAAATGCTACACGTATAACCTAAAATCGAGAAAAGCCAAAGAACTCACGGGTTCCTTGACATCGCCAGCAACCGATAGGCCAAAAAACCGAGTGTATGATAAACCAAGCCTTTTACATGCACAAATAAGTAAAAGAAAACGTTAGAATACTCAAATTTTACATTTATTTTCATCAAATATGCTTGTAAACAACGCATATCTGAAGCACACAAACCTGCAACGACATCACCTAACAAGGACAAATTAAATATCAAATTAGCCACCACTGTTCCAGCCAATGAAAGACGAGAAAACCTGAGGCGCGGAAAATTTAACACATCATAGCCTATATCCTCACCCGTTTGGCTCATGAACTGAGATAACATGTAGATCAGTGTGTGCCTCAAGTGAAAGAAGCTGTATTCCTCTTATGCCTTACGCAATGAAACCTCGATGTCCAATGCATATAATAGTGCACTGCACTTTGTTAATGAAAAGCGTTCATTCCGCGGATTCATGTAGCAGATTATTTGAACCTGTTTGTGCTGTAAGCATGTCAGTATCACTTTCAAGCTGTTCGCAAGTTATTATGTCATATGCACAGTAAACAACAGGATTGATGATCCCTTTTTATATATATATATTTATTCCTGTTTATGCAGGAACATACCAATTGTACAGGCATGGATAAGTTATTATATAAATTACAGTTTGTTTGTTCAATCTAACATTAGAGTCAGTCAGAACAGTCTGCAAAATAGTTAGTCTGTGTAACACATAAAGAGATATAGGAATATTGTCTTCGCATTAACAAAAAACCCAGACTTCAGATGAATGTGATACAAATATCTGGGAAAAATAAAGCTTGAAGTCAATTCTACAAAACTTTGTTGTGAACAGCATCTGTGAGATAAAGTTTATTGATGTATTATTTTGATTCAATAATGTATTTATTCCATTTTTGTCAGCAGTCTTATCGTAGTTTTATAATAGGAAAGAAATTTGATCTTTGATACGAAAATTAGATAAGGTAATGTTAAGTTGTTTTACTGCATCAAATGGGGTCAATTCTAGAACTATCAATTTGCGCCATTTGCGTCAGCATGGCAGACTGTACATGTAAGTTGAGTAATACATTGATAACTGTTTGAAAACCAGTTACTTCTTTATTTCAAATCAAGAATACTCCTTGTACAGAATGTTGGCCAGCGTTTTCAAGTGGTTGCATCGGATCGTTCATGGAATTTGAGTTTGAATTCACATAAATGGTCATTTCAGTTTAGATGTTGGGTTGTTCGACCTCAACCAGGAGGTATATAGAAGATTACGCTCAGCAGGGAGATAAAGTATGTAAATATGGAAAAAACTTTATTATTTTATGTACATATAAATGTTTATAAATGTATATCATTGTATAGTAAACACTACCCATAATCTAGTTGTTTTTCATGTATTTTTGCGAAGTCTTAGAGTTTATTTGGTGTCGTAATATTTAGTAATGAGTCTAGGCGTTATAGTGTTCTAATAGCTCATGCGTTTTGGAAATAAGTGGTGTGGTGTGATTGGCATAGTCATTGGGATGAAGCAGTTTATATAGCAAGCGTTTGAAGGTTATAATAGAGTGACAGGTCCTTATTTCTAGGGGTAAACTGTTCCAGATCTTAGAGTACATGACTATGAAGAAGTTTGCACGGAGTGCTGTTTTACAATTTTTTCCTAGATTCTGTGCACGTTTGGTTACGAAGGTTGTAAGAGCCTTCCGGTGAGAACTGTATCTCCTTGCTGTCTGAGAATGATATTTTATGCAATATTTTAAAGAAGAATGTTAGGTTAATGCTCAATCGTCTTATCCAGAGTGGGTCGATACCTAGAGTTATACACCTTGATGTGG